AAATACTCTTTCATTTTCTTGCAGACAAATCCCCAAAGAATACAGTTAGTTAGCTAGTTAGTTATATATATATTTTTTTTAAACTTCTTACTACTATAAACACATCGGATAACTTTCATAACCCATTGTGAAAGGTTTGTCCATTGCTTCAACTATGCAGATCTTGTGTTTTGGCTTAAAAAGACCTTTATCATAAATTATCATTACAAAATCCAGATTTTGAAATTCGCTCCATGTAATACGGATAGAAGAATATACAAATAAACACTTTTGGCAAATAGTTTATGTGTATATCAACAATCGTTTTGTTTTCAACATTTCAAATGGACAATATTTTTATGGAGCTGTTGTAAGTATGTATCCCATGCGCAGAATGGATAAATGATGACATATTGTATGATATATTATAAGTTCCTTCACGGACCTAAATAATTTATTCAGGTCCTTGATTCCTAAATATTATATATAATATATATAATATACCCCCTACCCTTCTAAATGTGTATTATCATTATTAGTGCTTTGATATCGCACCGCCTTGCTTGTATCAATTATTTTATGTCAATGGAGATAAACAGACTGTTTATACAAAAATGGGATGTTTCCCCCATTATATGCATATTCGTTCTCAAAGACAAGTAAAGCATTTGTGGTCTTGCTTTTGAAGCATAAGTCTAAAAAAACAACTTTAAAACATTTTTGAAAACTAAAACTGATGTTAACTTGGGCTAAAGATGGATCCCATGTCTACATTATAATTAAGAAATTCAAAAGACGCCAATATGTATTTGTAAACTATAGCCTGGCGTGCCTGCCTTGAGAACATACCTGTTGTATATACACAGTTAAAGTCTGATCAATATGCAGAGTCGTATTTAGTTCATATAACCATATTTGGTATTAATTTTCAGTTACCAATACAATACAATACCTTTGCGTTTCAGTACATGGCTGATTTTGAATATGACATTTAAACAACATTAGAAACAATAAAATCTGAATATATGAAAATCCAAAAGTCCAAAGATGCATGAGCTGTATAATTTACTCAAACGGTTTCACGAGTGTGATTTTCAAGAGTTCAGTTACAGTTTAATGAGTTTATATATATATATGAAATCTGCTATCACTTTATAAGCTTCAGCAATGGACAATATATTATTAATCATATTTTAACATACATGAACACATATTATAGATTTATTCATAAATAATCACACTTCACTCATCAGTCAAAAACTCCCCTCCCTACCCTCCCCCTCCCACGCTACCCTCACTTCCACTTCTGTCACCCCTGGCTCACACCGCAAACCTGGACTAAATTCGACCTATAGTTTGGTCTATTTTTACCCACTGTCGTTTCATTCGCATGGGGCACCTGTAACCGTCACTCAAAGTGACACATTTCATGCGAAATATGTATACATTTTACTTTCTTTATGATAAATTGAAGGAAGGCAAAACGTGACCTACAGTCGTGCATAATGTCTTGCCAGATACGCTGACCGTTTAGATACTTATGTTGCCAAGGTGTCTATATGACCAAACTAGTTATATACTTGTACATTGGGCAATTCAAAGTCAAATCATTCTCGTGAAGTCAAGCGCTTTTATGCGACACGGAAAAATGCGAAGCTGTAATTCATAACAGTAATACATGACGTGTATATCAATGATATAACTATAAAATATATTGGTCATATTTTATACGATCTCCTTGCCCTGTTAAAATATTTGTAACGACACTTGACTTAATAATAATTGATTCATTTGGTGTCTCTCCACCTGATTAAAATACCTTGAAAAAATAATACTTTCAGCGTAAATGTATAAGTATACGCTTCTCTGTATCAAGTTGGTGTTTTCTTAAAGTACACCATCTTATCTATGTTGAAAATTAAAAGTTCGGTTCTCGTCACTCCGATATTGTCGTCGGCACGAATCGGATGTTTCCGTAAGGAAGAGTTAAACTAGGTGAAGGATTTGCGTCACGCGCTGTTGTTTGGTTTTAGAATCTCGGTACACTGAACTGTCACACAAAAAGTGTATATTACTGTGGTTAGTACAAATCAATAATAAAATAGTAATGCCACAGCTTAAAAAAGTGATCCTATTGGTGTGAATCTTTAAACAAATACTGACCCAAACCGAGATGTATCTGAATGTGCGATATGTGTGCAAATGTTTATAATCTGAACACTTATGCGAAGAAGATGATGATGGTTATTATTATTGTTCCTAGTACTGTTACACCAATGACAATAATAGTGATGACAACAACAACATTATTATTATTATTATTATTATTGTATATTGACAATCTGTGTGGTATATGATGTGTTACTGATATGTACGAGATACTCCGAACAAGCATGCGGCCATGCAGGTGGAAACATATCCTTGTTTATATCAACTTTGTTGACCTTGACCGAGCTCTCACATACATAAAATGTCACCAAGGGGACAACCCATGCTCACAAAACGTGTTTTGACCTTAGAAGGTCACGAAAAAAACTTGTGAAAACATAAGGTGTTTGCATACAAATATAAATTAATTGTTTTAACTAAAACTATTTCAGGATATAGTTGGTTGCGTTGCCATACGTTTCTACGGTGATCTGATGTGTAATGTGTTGTTTTATGCAAGAAGTTGCCCGTGAGAAACTCATAGCAGAGCTTTCACTTCAATGGTATATACTGTTTATCGTCATGACGGAAATATATATATAAATAAATTTGTTTTAAAAAAATGCATCATCTGTGTATTCCGATGTATGAAGCCAAAAACGGCAATGACATGTTTCTAAACAGATAAATCCTACGCATGCCTCTGCAAGAGCAGAAAAGGGTTTCATATGACGAAACTTTATATAGTACTTTGAGTTTTTACTCTCAATTTCAATTAAACACTACATCCAAATTTTAATATTTTTAGAAATTTACATTTAGAAACAAACAAAAATGAATAACATGCATCTGTAAAATAGATTCGATTCAAAATGTGTTTCATTTACCTTTATAACTTTAACTTTTAAATTCAGTTGTTGTATTATTTATTTCTGCTCAGACAATGTACATTAAATTAACTTGTAACATTCTAAAATTAAACGACACTTTTACGGTTTGGTTTTGTGTATTTATGGATTAAAAAATATACGACATAAATATTATTATAGAAGATATTTAAATTGACATTCCGCCACAAAACACAATAACCCGTTGTCTGTAATGTCAATAAACTGTCATTTGTCTACAGGTGGTCCTGTTAAACAGGTAGCAATACCATGTTTACCGTATGCTAATAGCTATCAGCTATATACCTTGGCGCTCAGATAAGATCACTGTTTTATATACCCTGCAACACTTGCCGCTGTGACACCTGCAAGCTAATTCGCTTACCGTTACTGATTGACTCTTGAAACTGGAGTAATTAGTGACGCGATTCCTAATTTTTGATTGGCTTAGGTAGGGGTGGGGGAGGTTACAGACTGTCATGCCCTTTCCGTGACATTTTTACCTCTATCGCCAGCAAGAACGGATTAGAGGATTTACTGTTAATCTTTATCTATTTTGACAGGTGCGAAATTGATACGTTTGAAGGACCATTAGTGATAAATGTCATCACTCCAGGAAAGGAAAATGAGAAGTCACTTAAGATTCAGATTATGTCACTTTTATGTAAAATACGTTGAGGAAAACAAGAAATTAAATTTTCGAAAGTATTTTGAGCAGTGATAAATAAAATTGTCAGGTAAACAGAACCGCTGAATATTATTTTAAATATATATGCTAATGTATAATGTATACGCATATTACAGAATGTTACAAATAAACAATAACACTTCGTGAAAACTATATTTCATCGGACCAAACTTACGTTGTTGAAATCATTATCAGAGATGATGGGCGTTGATTTCCATACGTATCGCAGATTATCTTAATATTTACATGGCCCAACGTGATTGTGTACTATAGTATCTGATGCAAGAGTAAGCTATGTCCACCATACTGCATGGCACTGGAAAGGAATCAAATATGACTGGTTTCTGTTAATGAATCGTAATATATATTAACACATTTAAAAATATTATAGGAGTGTCTCAACACTTGAATTAACTGCCATGCATGTGTCATACCAATTTCCTTTTGGGGAAATATTTCGTCAAAGTGCATATATCACACGGGTATTGTTATTTAAGTCGCGAACTAGAATATAAGTTAACTGTTTGTTTGGCTTTCTAGAAGTTGGTGAGTGAATAAAAAATAATTCACGAATGACAACTTCTGGTTTATTGTGTAAGCCACGTTTCGATGGAGATTCTTACACCATACATGCTCAAGCCGCAATATTTTTGTGTGTGAATTGTTATGGCAAGCTAAATAGATAAAACCAAAAAGAACAGAATCACATAAAAAAACGAACGGAAATAGACTACATTTCTTTTGAATTTGATATTTAAATTTATTACAAATGGAATGAGCGAAATTTTTCAAATGTGTATGGTTGTATTATTGATTTATGTACAGAATAGTTTCAAAATTAGTTCCTAAAGTCAGAAATTTTGTTAGTATGCACTTTTCACCGTTATGACAGGTACCACTACTAAAGAAATGTGACAGTTCCACTGATTGGTTGAGAGCATTGTAGTATATTTACACACATGTCAATAACTGTCAATCTTCATCAACTTGATTATTGACGGGCATGAGGGTGTTACCAAACTTTCACCTAAGTTAACCCTTTTAAAAATCCCTTTTATTGCATTTATACGAGCGGATATAGACCGGCGTGAAACTGTCTCGTAAATGCAGTGTTTGTATAATGCAACCATAGACAAGTGTTGGTTTTATCGACGTTTTATTGTAATACTAGCTAAAACGGGGCCCCACGGATATCTCTGAAACCCGCAGACATTTTAGTAGGTCACTGTGCCATTCTCTCCCGCTAAACGTGAGCTCGTGCGTCCTGCGCTCTGATTGGCTGGTTCCGCGCACTGGCTCGAGATTTTATGCACACCGCCGTCGCCATTTGTGATTATTATGAAGATGACTGAGTGAGTTTGGTGTTTGGATTTCGAGCTTTGGACGCATGTGTAGGAGACAATCGACGCGGAAATTCAGTGTGCACGTAGGACTGACATTCACACTTTAGTGTGACGTATTTCTGTGTTGATTCTAAACGCCTCCAAATGGATAGTTTAGTTCGATTCGCCTCGTCCGCTGCGACAACGGGCATGGAAGATCAACAAAGACTTCTTCATCAGGGCCAAGTTAGCATGGCGAGTGGAGTGATGACCCAGCAGACTGGATACGACCAAAACATGCAGCAATCTGGGAATCCTTCCGATCCAGACCAGCGCAAACAAGAAATTGGGGATATCCTTCAACAGATCATGACCATCACCGACCAAAGCTTGGATGAGGCTCAAGCCAGGTGGGTCGACAGGCGAGTGCAAATTTTTATTTCAATATTTTCCGAATTTCGATTTCTGGAATTTTACAACCGCGAATATTCGCTTCGGCTGTGTGCTATGATCTATATTTGTTTTCTCAATACAGGAAACATACCCTAAATTGTCATCGGATGAAACCTGCGCTTTTCAGTGTGTTGTGCGAAATCAAAGAAAAGACTGGTATGTACAAGTTTAACGTTGTTGCCCATGTTGTGACTTTTTATCTGTTTTAGTCGTTATTGTTAGAATCCCGTGTTTTAAAACATGCAACAAAGTGCTCTATCTCCATTATTTTATTCTTACGCATGCACATAATTTACTACTAAATGTGTTGACAACTATGTTACAAATAGTAGCGCATGTGTTGAGTGCTAATTAACATTGGAGGTGCCACAAACTCCATAACATTAAACTACACGAACAGAATATGTTTCCTAGCCAATATATAAAATGGTACAAAATAACAAACAATGATACAACTTATGTCTATCACGAATATCTTAACTGAGGAAGTGATAGTGATAAGATTACGTTTAATATGTATTACTAGATCTAAGTTTAAGAAAACCCCTCTCAACGCAATGCAGTTTGAAAGACACATATTATGTCCTATAATTATATACAATGAGAACAAGCCTGCCAAAGCGCTGCAGCAAATTTGCTGTATTGTCAACATTATCACATGCTTTGTACTGTCAAATGTCATATAGTCAACTTGTAAACCAGTGGAGTTTCAATGCCTTTTAATTGATGTCTATAGTGATAGGCAGTCTATGTATATAGTCATTGCTAATAATTAAGTCAAACTGTAGATTTAACATGTCTGCTACCGAAGACTGAGTTGTAATTGTTTTATGTTAAACAATTATGTTTTTTACATAGTAATGAACAAAACAGTTCAGGTAGATGTGTGTGGTTCTAATCGTTTTCTAATGCTAGATGTCAGTGTTGTCACAATACCCATGTGAGGCTCATGGTCACAGCTGGAACTTGGTCAAAGAAATAAAATTATATGTACCTTGGTACTCGATGAAGAATCACAGATATCTGTTTAGGACAGACACAGAATGATCGCTTTGTTTATGAAGCTATTTGTGAGGAAGAACAAGGGAATGTGCAGATATATTTTGACAACCTAGGCTTGTTAACTTCCCTTACGAGTAAGAAGGGACTTTTTATACAGTATTTATCAACAGAGATCCCCAACAAGAAAGTAGAGACCTTTTATACAGTATTTTCTTGCAGAGAGCTGTATACTTGACAGATATGTTGTTATTGATATGTATGCATCATTATTACAGCAATTGAAACAATAACATAGATAAGAAAACAAGCATTACATTAATTATGAAAATATTAGAATGTATTTCTAATACCATTTTCACCTTTATTGCCTATCATGTATATATTATAAATATTAATTTTAAGATTTATTCAGTTTGAAAAAGGAAGCAAATTTATGTCTCAGTATAGACAGTTTCTAATGTCTCCAACTAATAGAATTTCTCTGTTCATTTCAATTAGTCACTTGAATTATCGATCCATTGAAATTGATGATCATCTCTTTGACTATTTTCAAGTCGATGAGTAGAGATTTAATCAGCATTGTTTGCTATGGCCCTGAACTCCCATTGACCAGTGGTCATTGTGTATCATGTGTATCCATTCTTTGGCTTCATGGGAAAGAAGAGTGACTGTAGAAGACTTTCTAGCCCAGACTGTCAGAGCTAGGAATATTGGGCTCAGGGGCTGTAGATTGCAATCTTGACACTGATCTGTCAATTTATGATGGATTGGGCTGCTGAATATTTGATACAGGAAATTGAACACTCAGGGTTTACATTTCGCTCTGGAATAATTTCTTTCACCACAAAGCTATCAGGATTGATGAATGTGAATTATTTCCAACACAAGACGAAGACCTACTTTTACATAGGAAGCTAGCAAGTTTTCTTGCTTTCAAAGAAGAGTCTGTCTGTTGGGCACAGACTGGCAACATTAGAATAGCTTTGAATGATAAGTTTTTCAAACATTTCTTGGTTTCACCAACAGAGTAGAAAAGACTTTAGGTCTGTCTTCAAGCAAGCTTGAACTACTGATTTTATTAACTTTTTGCAGGAATTTGAATTATTTTTTGAAAATACTCAAAACACACTTTTGAAGTTAAACCCTTAAGCAGTGTTAAGCAAATAACTTCTTCAAATCGAAGACATTTTATTATTAATTTGTTCTGAGAAACTCAATTTCCTAAGACCCTCAACAAAGGAATTGTTGGGAACAATTTCCTCAACTGAAACACATGCTGATAGCAGACATTAACTGACAAAGAAAATTCCACATAGATACTAATCATCTGTAGGCCACATTGAACGGACCCTACCATCCTCAGCTGGGAAAATTAATTTCCAACCCTCCAAATTTCTCAAATAGCTGGCCTCTAAATCCAAGTAAATGGTCCTGCCTAGTTCTTGTAGTTGAGCCCCAAGGAAATGGTTACAATGAACCCTGACCCTCTGACCTCAGGGTCACAGCAGGGAGGGAAGACTTTCCTATCTAAAATTGCCCCTGTGTCAGACAGGGCTGCTCCTAATACCATGGCAGCCACTGCCTTCAAAATATAACCTGATACTTAGCAATAGATGGGCAGTTGGGTCTAGTGGATGTTTGGGTGTGTCATACAATACTGAAGAAATTGATTAATGATTTGGTCCCATGGAATCTGTTTAGGACAAAATGAGAGAATGCTGTTCAATTGGCCGTAGAATAGTTTTACACATTGATTTAGGTTTTATGTTTCAAGTTTAATTGAAAAGATAGATGTTCAAGTAAAGAGAAAGTAGATAGTATCATGTTAATTTAACATTTTCACAATGTCTGTTCTTATGTGGCACTTGAATGAATCCTGTTTGCTGTTTTATGGGTTTTTTATGATCAGAGGATCATCTTGTTTGAATTACCACTCCAAAAAATCATTTAATAATATTTTAAGTTTTTGGAACAAATATCTCGAAAACAACAAAAAGTTGGAAAATGTCTTGAAATCCCCAAGTAAATATGATTTATGATGTTTGCTAATGCTTGGAAATCAACATCGCAGTTTCATTACTTTCAACGAATGATTTATTGTTGTTATTTTGGGTATTTGCCATATTTTATAAACTTTCATTAACTTCCAAATTTGAATTTATGTTTTGTACATCCCTATTTTCGCAGTGCTTGTTTTGGCGTCTTGCTTAACTTGCTGTGAGACACTTCTGTTTAGATTAATATTTGTTAACATCACTCATGCTATGTTGTGCAGACTTGCATTTGGTATTTATTATTTTGAGATAGGTATCTAATTTTATGCGAATACATCATTATAGTTATAATAAGGTTAGAAAACACCCAACCCTGTTATGCCCATGTTATGTAAATAGTCACTGAGTTTCCATAAAGTTTGACAAAATGTAAACGTGCAGTTCAGTAAACAGTCGTTTAATATCATTAAAACTGACAAAGCATTTCAAGTATTTGGACTAGTGGATCCTCTCTGCCAGTTCAAATGTGATACCACAGTAATTTAATTAGACAGGCAGTTCCTTGACAGTGTAAACAAATCATTAACGGAGAAGCATTCAGTGTCATGATATTTAAATCAAAAGGAGCCTTGTCCAAATCCAGATTTATTGTGGAAAGATTTACTCCAATTTGGGGGTTCAAATGTCTCCAGCCAAGCAAACCAATAGGCCGAGGGCCCCGTGTCTGTTTACAGCCCACACTTAAATAGATTCTTCCATTTTGTTCTCCTCTAATGACCTTTCTTGAAGTGTGGGGTGGAAAATGTGCCATTTATGAAAGAAGGGTGCTTTTATGAAAATCACCAGTTAATGCCTGAGTAGCTATGGCTCTCACAGGAGGACAAAAGGGGGTTTGGAGGCTCTAAGGGCATGGATGCCTTGGACAAACTAAGGCAGCGATTCCTTTGTTGTTGTTTGGAAACTGCCAAGCTGTGACCAATGAGGATGATTTGACATGATTTATTATTTGGGGAATCGAAAAAAGGAATACGAAAAAATTGTTCATAGTTTGTAGTTCTGCAAAGCATGTAATAAATTATGATGCATAAATCATGATATAAATTAAAATAAATAATTTTTTTGTTTTGTCAATTTACCATTTTATGCTTGACTTGATTGCTTTGTTCAGCTTATTTATTGAATTCCTTGGAATATGTTATTAGGAATTTAAATTGCTGATTATGTACATTTTGTTAGATGATTATATTATGTAGATTAAGTAGATACAATTACTGACCCGTCCTAAAATGAGTGAGTACTTCCTAGTTGGCCAAGGTGTTAATGTCTATACCAGGAATGACATGAATACAAAGTGATGGGATATTAACATATGTTATGAGTTATACAATTTAGGAAACCATCTTCATGCTTCATACATCCTGTTTGGGATGACAAATTTGCTCTTGCTTTGTGTTCTGGTTAATAATGATGTTCATGGCGTGGACTGTGTTCAGATGTTCACCCGTTGCCATGTATTTAGTGGGTTAAGTATTTCTGGCGTCTCAGTGTGAATCCGGTTTGTGACTGCTCACTATGTAAATTGCCCTTTTGATAAACAAAGGAGACAATTCCTTGTGAACCCTGAAGATAGTAATACTGGCCAATTCAAATGTTTCATGACAAATGATTTCAATCAGGTCAATAAATTCTTGCAGCAAAATTAATTCTGTCAAATACATTAGTTTGAAAAAAGGTCTTTACTGAATATTGTCTTTTCAGAAAGAAAGCAGGAAACATAACATAGTCCTACTGTGTAAACTACTCTTGTTTTCCCATTGAATGTGGTCTTCACTGTCTGTAGCTAAACCAGTTTTATGTTTATTTATAAAAAAGACATCTCATTGATTAATTAGGACAGTTATATACCTCACTGGCAGTAATTCATTCATTCAAGAAAAGATCTACAAACTTTTTGCCTGTTCCTTTCCATGTCAGAAATTCTCTAGTGTAATTGGGGATTGGATCCATGATCAGAGAGAACGTAATTCAAGATTGCCAACAAATATTTTTGTTCAAAAATGTCTTGTCAGCTATTTTAAAACATGATTACCATCAACTCCTTTTTCATATAAGCTCCAATTAATTCTCAGTATGGTCTTATTAAAACAGATTGCAAGTTGTGTCTGACAATTAATTATAGACCATTAATATTCCATCAAGTAGAAACGTTAATCTAATACCATCGTTAAGTTTTCGGTTACATATTATGTCATGTAGAGGTCAACAACCCCATTTCCTTAACGAGTGCTGCATGTTAGTCATCAAGTTATTATCGGTTCTAAACCCGAGACTTTTTGCGAGATACACAACCTTGTCGCAGGACATACTGAAGTGTATTGTTTCTTGAAATTTATGAGCGAGGTTTCCATGCGTTCTATTTTTCGTGTGTACCTTGCCGTTTGAAATAATGGCAACGTCGGTGTAGTGATTACCCAAGATAACCTACGTGACCTGAGATCTGGGCAGACATGGAGACCTAGCTCGCATAAGGAGTCACACCGATAAGAACATAATATGCAATCACTGTTTCCAGTTGTAAATCAAGCCTAAAATAGTCTCATTTGGGCATTTATGAAGCTTGGGTGACTAGCTTGAGTTAGGTTCGTCTCGTGGGATCTTATCATTGTAACTCTGTCGGCTACACTAATAAGCAAATACACTATTTGTCCAATAAGCTGGTAGTGAACTGTGAAACATGCTCCAGGGTACTGCCCCAGTATATGTGTTCCAGGCAGTGGGATGTACTCGTTTACCAGGCCTCCAAACTGAATGTTCAAGTCCCTTGGTTCAGTGTGGGCCCTGCGTTAAAAAATATGTGAATCGTGACACAAAAAGCTGGAATATGTGTGATGGATGTTTTTACATCTTTTGTGTGAATGAATATGTGTATAAGTGTTGAAATTTGAACGTAGAGAAAGGACAATGGCTTATGATATTTCTATGGGATTTATCGTTTTGAAAGAATCTAAAATCCAGGCCTTTATGGCCTCCAACACACTTGGAAGTAATTGATAGGCACACGCTGTCAAAGGTTAATATGCTAGGAAAAGGATTTAATGGTTATTAGGTGTGTTCACAGATCACATTAGCCCATTGTAGCTTAGTATAAAGTGAGAGATTTTTTCAACCTTGGAGGTTCTATAACCGAGCGTAAATGCCTTATAAGAGCCGACAAAATATCACACATTCGACTCGTTTTTCTGCTTATCGATTTTTAATTCAGTGGCAAGTTAAGGGGTCACCCGATAGCTCCAGATACAGCAAGGATGAAAATTATCTGCCTGGGATTATTATGCGTAATTTGAGCTCCCCTTCTAGCCCATCCAAGATCTGTCAATGGTGTGTGTGGCCCTGAAATGATAAGATAGGCTGCCACACAGTGAGCCCTTGAATCTCAATGCGTTATTGAAATGAGCATGATCTATAGCGAAATCTACATGACAGTAGGGATTTATCTTGATGTGGATTTCTTCCAGGTGACATTGTTGACAAGGCGACAGGGATTTCTGGAAACAGCTTGTATTACAGAAAAATTTCAACAAATCTCTGTTTTATATTTCTTCTCTTCCATGTTGCGTAATGTCAATAATGATCCTGCAAGATTTCGTGATTGTGGCTGTGATAACATTGTGATATAATGGACGTGATCATGTGTATTTCAATTTGAAGGAGAGGAGAAGGCACAAATTGCATTCATTTCATCTAAACCTGTTGCATGTAGATTTGAGCTGTGACAGCTGGTCTGAAATTGACAATGATGATGTCATATCATTAATTTCCATGAGATGACCACAGATAAACAGACACATGTGACCAGAGTTTACCTCCAGGGGAGTGCAATCAATCTTGGTCTGATTGGAAATCAGCCATTATTATGATGTAATAGCAATTTACATTCTTAGTAAATTTGAAATAGGCATGAAATTTGTATTTCAAGTGACCGCAAGAGCCACGGGCGTATCATCAGTATAGCATTTAACTAACTAATAAGAGAGTTACCCTATACAACAAGTAATATTTACTCATTTACTTGACATTTTCCTGACAATTCTTTGAAAAGTTGAGTTAAATTCATATGCAGCTAAGTTGTAAATTTATAAACATACCTTACATATGTAGAAACACATTCTGACAAGTTTTATTTGTAAAATATTATTCAAACCCAGATTTTTCGTTTATCAGGAACTGCAGTTGAAAATGTTCTAACAATCAGTGTGATTTCAAAGCATAATTATTTGTCACTGTGGGTTAACCTATGCTACCGGTAGTCCTGCTGTAATAGCTTATGTTAACAGTTTTGTTAAAGTTTAGGCATTTGTATGTCTTTCTTACCTATAACAAATTTTATTGATTCTTACAAAGGCCACTTCACCTTTTTCTGGCGCCAAGGAAATGTCTGCTAAGTTTATTTCTCTTCTCGGTATGGCTTTAATGCAGCTAGCTGATGTTAAACGCTAAATTAACACAGCATAGACAAAATTAAACATTGACATAATTCATCAAATGTTCTAAGTGTCAAGTCATAGACACGTGGTACAGAGCATTGATAGATGGACGAGTGCTAACAGAGATATAAAACTGGCGTGGGGTCTACCGGGCATGTGTGTGGAATATCTCCTGGTCCAATACACACGTGAAATGCAGCAATGCAGTTCTTTTTCTGAGTATGTGCTGGGAATAAATTACCAATAAATAATGTTATTTTATGTTGATAAATTATTTTGATGGAAAATGTTTGAGAGCAATGTGTATTGTTGATAATGTAAGTGATTTTGAGAGTCGTGTATGACTACGTTTTGCTTGACATTCTGTGAATATATTAGTTGGGTCCCTGTTTACACAGTAGTCTTGGTAAGTTCTGGTGATCTTAGCACTAAGATCCTTTCATGGAATTTGGCCAGGAATAAGTCGATTGTAGCGGACGACCAATTTCTGTTTTTGTGATTTTGTTGAAAAATCAATTTAAGTGATTTGTTTGCCCCTAATTGTGGATAATTGTAGTTGAAAAATTATCTGAAACATTCGGACACTTAATTGGGGTAAACGTTTTATGTAAAGAATGTGGTGTTGACGTTTGAAAACTGAGTTTTAACTTGACATTAAATACAGCGCTAAAATGGTAACTGGAGGGGTATTACATTTTGAGTAAGGAAAATAGTGGAACATGAGAAGATTGCATAAGAACGGTTGAGGAAGCCATTAATTCAGAAAAGCTGATAAAATCATGTAAATTAATGGTTAAATTTAGCCTAAAAGATCAAAAGATTTTCATGGCATTTCCTGTTTTAGAGATAGTGTCAAAAACACCTTTTGTACCTCTTTGACAAAAAACACATATTTCTCACTCTTAATTTACTGCAACACAAAGTTACATTCCATCCAGGCTAGTGAAACTGAGCTAAATCAACGCCATGGTAATTACAACGATAGCTGATAATTACAGAGAACATGTTTATCTAATGTGGAATTAATGACAGCATTTTTAGGGGGCCATGATTTGATGTAGATCAAATAACAGTTCTATACAGAAAGCATTGCTATACTTAGCCCGTCAGTGGATAATTAAATACACATTTTCTTGCCGAGGCAGATAACCTCCATCACAGTGTGTTTTCTTTGACACTAAGCAGCACAATTATGCAGCAGGATTAGCCATAAAGTGCAGTAGATTTGTAATATCTATTTCCAGTTGTGCATCATGGTATTTAGCACTGTGTTGAAAAAGATAGGAGTTGGTGGAGCTATCGTCGGATAATGTTTATGAGTTTTGATATGTGTCAGTCGGTAATGGCTCTGTGTGTATATAAACGTTGGCTCACGCCTGTGTTTATTACACAAGATGGTATTTCAAAGTCTCTATAACAAACCAAACTTAGTCAGTTTGCCATGCATTAAACAGAAGTTCGTGCTTATGAACTGTCGCTAATGGTCATGAGAAAGTTTCTTGTAATGGTGGCATGGCATGGTTGCTGGCTTTTTGGCCTGTGGCCAGTAGAAAAAGTATAGGGCCAGCTGTTTTGTTAACCGAGTGGTTTGGCCTGTTGTCAAAAAACTTGCATAAGAATGTACACAGTTATCAAGGTATTAATCATATGTTTGTTATTTCATGATTTTGTGATGTTGTTTGTGGATAAGTAGGGTGCTGGTTCCAAGATCTGGAACCTAGTCATAGTCATCACTGTGAGGTGTCCCAAAGTAAGTCTGGTCTTGGGGTCCTTGAGTTACTAGGTTGGTTGGGTCTAGGGATCCTCTAAATCTTGCACTTTCCACATGAGGGTTATGACATGGACTTCTTGACTTTCATGCTTTATTTGAAATACTGCTATGTAAAATTTGCGAGTACGTCTACCTGGTCCGATGTTTGAATTAGGGGCTGCAATGAACCTAGTGGTTAAAGCCTTTGCTCATCCCGAAGACCCGGATTTGATTCTCCGATTGGGTACAATGTGTGAAGCCCATTTCAGGTGTCCTCTGCCATAATATTGCTGGGATATTCCAGCGTAAAATACTTCTCACTCACTCATGATTGAATTGTTTCAAACACTGTGTACTGTAAATCCTTTCATGGTATTGGATGGCTAGTTTCTAGGATTGGAGTAACATCTGATATTAATTATGGTATGAATGTTTGAGATGTAGGTAAGTGTTCCACGCTAATGTTTGACATGATTTCTTGCAGTACTGAGTATTCGCAATACACAAGAGGAGGAGCCCCCAGATCCCCAGCTCATGCGATTGGACAATATGCTGATAGCTGAAGGGGTAGCAGGGCCAGAGAAGGGGGGTGGGTCGTCGGCAGCGGCCAGCGCAACAGCTGCCGCATCAGGGGGCCAGCCAGACAGCGCTATTGAACATTCAGATTACAGGGCCAAGTTGGCCCAGATCAGGCAGATATATCACACAGAGTTAGAGAAATATGAACAGGTGAGTTCAAGTTCATTTGATTCTGGGCCACATTAATAATGGACATTCTGTATTTGACCTTAGTTCCAACCTAAAGGTTTCTGGAAAAGCAATACTTGTTCTTTACACTTCAAACAGCATTATTGAGGCAATTGTTTTTTTCTAGGCTTGTAACGAATTCACAACACATGTGGTCAACTTGTTACGGGAACAAAGTCGAACGCGACCCATAGCACCTAAGGAAATCGAAAGAATGGTCAGCATAATCCGCAAGAAGTTCTCAGCAATTGAAATGCAACTGAAACAAAGTACATGTGAAGCTGTGATGATTCTCAGATCACGGTTCCTAGACGCCAGGTCAGTCACTTCAAATTGTTTATCATTTCAGATTTAAACTATCCTGAGGTTTTCTGTACTTTGAGTAGAATGTTTTGTTGGGCATTCAGTCTTATCAAGTTGCATGGACCCAATGGCTTGGTGGTAGGGGGGCGAAATCCTTGTTTAACAACTCTGGGTTTGAGGACTGGAAAGTGGTTGGTCTGTTGTAGTGTAAATTTGGAATTTTCATGTATTAGTTGAAACCAACCATCTGATTTTTTTTTTAGTAAGATGGGACACATTGTAAGCCACTTTCAACACCAGGAGAAACTATTCCATTCTAGTTATTATTTTTAGATTAAAATGTCATCAATGTCATTAATGTATTCTACAATCAAGCAAGTAGTTGCACGTAAGTCAATGAATGCACAGCCAACTTAGGGACATATGACCCTATATGATCGCTCCAGTAATCTTTTGATAATGGTATAACTACCAGCACCAGATTCCTGACAAAGATAGGCTTATGTACTATGTATACAGGCCAGACACATGCTATGCAGCATTCCAAGTACAAGTTATTTCACTTGTTTGAATATTTAATAAAAGAGAATTGTGAAAATAGCACCTGACTGATAGTCCTTCAACAGCTGACAGTGATGAAGTTTATGACTTTGTGTTAAGTTCCGACGGTTTGGAAGTAATTTCTTTGAAACCAAATAAAAACATGTGGTTTAAATGTTCAGCATGTTATCTTATGTTTGTTGATATGAAAAACCAACACAGCTGTTAACTCAAGAAAATAACAATCATGCCTTATCTTTTTAGAACTTATTAAAATATTCATAGGACACGGCATAGATAGTTCCACATGGCGGAGTTGTCGCGTTTGACTTAGAGAAAGATTTGTTGGTACTGTGATAAGCAATGACATGTGAAGGCAATTATGATGAATTATGCATGCTCTGAGTTTAATTTGAGGTTAGATTGTGCGAGAAATATGCATGCTTTGGTGATAAAACCAAGGGGGGTGGCTGAAGAAACTGTATGGAACGTTCCAAGAAGAGATCTGCTTTAAAATCTTCGAAAACATTTCTTTCCGCATCATACAGCTAATTTGAGGTAATTTATGGAAAGAAATGACATTCCGTTTTTTGATAAGATGCTTCAGTCTTCATGTCATGTGCTGTGAGTGTAAACTTGTACTATTGACATGAATCTTACGAATCCTTTCTGTGGCTGTGTGACCTTCACCTTTTTTTGAAGGTGAACTTATTACTTAAATTATGAAAATCTCACCAGGATTTGATGTGAATGGCTGACAAAAAATTCGAACTATATAATATTTTCAAAATGACCTTTATATGACCTTGACCTAATTTTGTTTCTAAAAGAAAATTTAAAATGTTTTTTTCAGAAGAAAGAGGCGTAACTTCAGCAAGCAGGCTACAGAGATACTGAATGAATACTTCTACTCACACCTCAGCAACCCCTACCCTTCAGAAGAAGCAAAAGAAGAACTGGCGCGGAAGTGTGGCATTACCGTATCTCAGGTTGGTGCTATGATCGTGATGGCTACTGCAATAACATACTGCCTGTTTGGGCCAAGTAGACTTAGAGTCACGTGGTTGGGTTGAGTACATTTAGTTTACGCTGTTTTTGACGCTTTCATTGGCATTTTTAGTTTCCGTACGTGGCCTAGAGCATTTATCTCAACATACCCAGAGGAAATGTAGCTCAATATGAATATATTATGCATGTTGTTGTAATGTTTTTGCTCATTAAAGCTGATTTCGCTGTAAACGTGTTGGCAATAACGGAAAAATTGTTCCCTGGCTAGCTGTAACTAACTTAACTTGTCTGTACATTTTTGAGAATTGTTTTTGAACACTGCATGCTTGAAAATTGTAAAATAACAAGTCGTTGAATTACATCAAAGTAAATGTAATACCTTTTACCAAATGCTAAAGTCATTGTATTTTATAGAACGATTACAGTATGAATTAATTTGAAGCAAGTATTAACTTTACATTTTTGTATCTTGCATACTAAGCATAACATATAAGAAAGCAATGAAGACGTAGTTTATTCTGTTCCTACATAACTGTGATCAGTATTTAATCAGTAAAGTGAAACATATAGGTTTAATGCGTAACTAAATGTATCGTCAATTACAGCAGTTAGAAAACCGTTGCCACGGTTACCCACTACTTTTGACACTACGACGCTTGGTAGACAGTGCGGTGATATTGTTTTAGCACATCAAGATTTTAGCAGCAATTTGGGATGCAGCAATACATATTTCTTCTCTTTTTGCGGTCCCCAATTTGTTAACTGAATAGAATGCTTTACAAGTGGATATTTGTGCTCTTAAGTTTAAGTTTGTGTTGTAGTTTAGAAGCTGAACATTGAGTTGGTATGAATCATCAGGATAATGTTCACTGCGAGCCATGTATTTTGCTATTGGCCACATTTCATATCAACAGCCAATCAAATGATACTTTAGAAATTTTGAAATGAATATTCAACCAATCAACATTCTACTATTATGGTAAATTAGATTTCAGTTTTTATTGGACAAATGTTGAAAGAAGATTTCTGAACAATTTCAAATCAAAACAGAATCATAATAATTTCAGAATAGCAAAATTCCCTTCTAAATAACATAAGATAATTTGTTTTGTTTCTATTCTAGAAATAATGTTTAAATTATTGCAAAGAAAAATCGTAACATCTTATTGATTCTTGAAGATAGCGATATCTCAGCCTTATGCAGTGTATAATTTAGAGAAAGGAGTTCAACCAATTTGGGTCCTCTCCTGTCAAATCTAATAAGCAGGTTTTGGCAGTGGAATTGATTTTTTTCTGACCTGCTTCCAAATTTCTCAGATGATTGTAGCTTGATTGGCTGGTTAATAATAGAACTGAGTAATGACTAACTTGAACCTGGGTAATGTGTGTTCGTGTTGGCAAAATTCACGACACGTTCTAAATAACGTACGGTCCGGGCTCTTAATGACATGACAAATGGGATTTCATTCTTTGAAATGTACATAGTCTTAAAGGTAACAGATCATTGAAATACATTTTTGAAATGATTTAATTCAAATTCTGTCCATTTTTTAATTTATCATGTTGTTTTTTTTAAAAATGATAATGATCAAGAAATAAAAAAAACCTATTCAGTGACACTCAAAATTGAGTTTAGATATTACTGCAAGACTTTTAATACCACTGAATAAGATGGAAATATTATGTTATTAAAATTTCTATTCATAAGCATAATTTATCATTTTTTTTAATAAAAAAGAAAGAAGAAGATAATGATTGACAAAAAATATATTCTGCAGCACTATGCTTTGTGTAGTTGTTACTGCAATAGATCATGTTCTGAAATCAGGTGTTAATAATTTGATATCCACTTGTAAGGAATTGTATTCACATTCACAATTAATTGTATAGCTGAATGACCTGTATGGGATTTGTCAGCTCTGTCTGGTACTGGCTTCAAGTTTCACACAGGTAGACAGTAGTAAGTTTTGCAGCTAATTGTGAAGCAGTTTGGGGAGTCTAGTCAGGCTGTTTATGTCTGGTGAGAACATGAACGCTGATGACATGGTGCTGAGTGCTTTTGAATGTGTTAAAATGCATTCTGTTTCAGAATTGTTGAACATGTCTCATCTATGCATTGCGACAAATGGATACGTGTCATGACATTCAATTTGTGTTTAGATGCTTTTTTTCCAGGATCCAGTTTAAATGACATGTTTATCTAAAGTAGACTCGTTTGCTTTGTTTTGTGACAACAATAATGATTTTATGGAAAAATGTAGAAAATGCTCAAGATTCATTTTGTCAGGTAGTTATCATGACCGGCCATATGTTAAATACATGAATGTCTTTTAGTGCATGTATACTTTTGCACCAAACTAAATTTTGAAATCCAAACAACACAGCAAAATTGTTGAGTCTTAGTACTTTGGAACACACAAAAAACCCTGACCATTGATTTAAGTTATTCATAACTTGCTCTGTGTCCAGGGTGAACAGCTAAAGTTATGTTTGTTTGTTTGTTTGTTGTTTAACGCCGCACTCAGCAATATTTCAGCTATATGACGGCAGTCTGTAAATAATTGAGTCAGGACCAGACAATCCAGTGATTGATATCATGAGCATCGATCCACGCAATTGGGATGTGATGACATGCATCAACAAAGTCAGCAAGTCTGACCATCCGATCTCGTTAGTCGCCTCTTACGACAAGCATGGGTTGCTGAAGACCAATTCTCACCTGGATCTTCAAGGGTATAAAGTTATGTAGTGTAGCCAGTGCACATGTTCTTAATTCCTCTCCTTGAGGTACTGTGAGAAGTGAGTGAGTGAGTGTTGTTTTACACCACAGTATGACGCCAGTGTTACATTATATCCCTGTGTCCTGTAAGTAATCAAGTTTGGATCAGACAAACTATTGGCTGACAACACGAGCAACGACATATGTAGTTAGAGTGTAAGTCATAGGATTTCAGAATGATTAATTTTCTTGGACTTTGGCTATTGTATTCCAAAATGTCCTAAAGATTTTATGATCCCCCGCCCAACAATGTTGGCGGGGATATAGAAACGGGCTCTGTCCATCCGTCACGTTTCGTTTCCAGAGCATAACTGAGAAACAGTTCAATATTTTTTCATGAAACTGTGCAGATCTGTCAAGTACATGCTGAACTGGTGCCTTTTGCTATTTAGAAGTTTTAGAAATTTTTATTTCTTATGTTTCCATGGCAATAAGATGGACTTCGGTTCTGTGAGGGTAGGGTTCGTTTCCGGAGCATAACTCATAAACCATTCAGTATCTTTCATCAAACTTTGCAGGTCTGTCAGGTACATGCTGAACTGGTGCCTTTTGCTATTTAGAAATTTTAGAAATTTTTAATTTTTACGTTTCCATGGCAACAAGATTGACTTAGGTTCCAAACTCTTCTTTTTTTTAACATTTTCCATGACAAGTTCCACCTCGGTTAAAAAAGGTTAGGGTTTGTTTAGATTTAATTATGTCATAAATTCTGCAACAGGGATGGGGGGATATAACCACGTTAGTGGCAAACTCTTGTTTAAATTTCTTAACGATATGGAACAATGTTGTTTAAAGCATTGATGAAATCATGAAAATGACCTAATGCAATTTGTCTTGAGCAAAATCTCTTGGTAAGAATGATCTGATCTGGTATATTTACAACATTAATAATATATATTTAGCTCTGACAGAGATAGCAAAATTTTTTAAGCTAGACTGCTTATCACAGGGATCGAAGCCAAATACAGGGACTTTAGCTGTCAGTGGCCTGTACATCAATTGAAAAATGATGTTGCTTGTGGTAGGTGAAGTCTTTTGTGAATCCATTCACGCCAACAGTGATCAAGAACTCAAAATTGATCCCAACCGGGAAAAAAAATTTTTTGGTGAAAAGTATTTAAATTTCACAAAATCATATTTTATTTTTCTCAAAACAATGCTAGAGGGTAGTTTAAAAATATTGTTGGACAAAACTGGCTTTTTTCATATATACTTTCAAAATATATAAGATTAAAATTAGAAGAAATCTCATGTTGATATTGAAAAATTAAACTTCATGAAGAAATGGAATCTCCAACTTTATTCTAGGAACAGCCATTCTTGTTTATTTGCACACCAAAAAAATTCAAAGTTAAAAAATTAGTTCCTCCTACTTGGCCACTTGTGTAGAGCCCCATCCAAGACTGGCTGAACGTTGCTGCTGATAATGAAGCTGTCAATCAAACTCCGTTTCCTGCACAAACTGTAATGGCCACCAAGAAATTACTATGCAAATAGCAGTCTGCTCACAATCCTTTCCAACAATGTAGTCATGGATATTTGGGCAATTTTATTTTTGTTATGGTTCAAGAAGATATTTGAAGAATTTCTAAGAGACTGTGAACTAGCTCTAATTGTTGAGACAGAGAAGAGAAGGGTATTGATATCTACAACCTGGATACACTGATTAACTGGTTTAACATCCATCTGTTGTGTTAAATATATCATTGATGTATGTCATTGATGTATAGCATTGATATAATGTCCATGGTCGTCTTTGTCGATTTTTCTTCTTTATGTTTTGACATTTTCACACAAAAAATACCAACCGTCTTACTTCTGAATAATTAATAACGTAGTTATTTCAGTCAGCAAAGTATCAATATGAAACAGATAACAAGTCAAATACTTTCTGCCTGTGATGTGTGATAAGAATTACCCACTTTCAATTAAGGAAAATGGCTGACTGTCCTGATTTTGCAGATAAAGTCCATTATTTTTAACCAAAGAAAATATCAGTCTTTTTTCGTGTCCTTGCTTCACAACCTCCAGAGAGGGTAACGCAATATGGAAAGCGGCCTGATAATGAATCTGTCACTCAAGCCGGGTCGTCCGGATATCGACTGCGTGTGGAATGGAGGGAGAGCTCTATAGCTAACCTGCAGCTTGCATCACAGACTCTGCTGGACTTTTGTTGCAGTGCTGCCACTTCCCATCTCAACT